AAACGTAAAACAGTAATAAAAAAGTAAATCAAACAATTATTTCTTCTAGTTACGACCTTTGTACTTAGTTGCTACTTGACATAGGCTGCCAAGCCTTTAAAAATTTTGCATGTGGAGGATATGAAACAATTTTTATTAGGTTTTATATATACATTTGAATAACTAAAAAAAATCATATAAATTACAACATAAATACCATAGAATTCCACTATAATTTATCAAGTGTAGTAACTAAGATGTATTTTACTCTTACAAAAATATAAAATTTGGAGCAGACTAAAGACACAACCTACAACATTGAAATCTTGGTTCAAAAGAAAGAAATGGCACTAGCCACATTAGAAAGGCTGAGAAAACCACTAAGGAGACATTCTGAGCTTCCGATTGGTTATTCATGTCATATATAGAAGTAAGTGTATATAAGGGAGCATTTCCAAAAATGGAAAGAGGTGAGCAGTGTGCCAGTGTATTTGATTTATTACATGAGCAATATCTTTACAAATAGAAAAAATAAGACCCTCTTATTTTATATTCTAGCTTGTCAGTATTGGTAATTTGAGTTTCTAATTCATACAAAACTATAGACTTGGTATTTTGACTTCACAAACATATAATGTGAACCAGTGCTGCATTCAACATACCACATGACACACAAAATTCGATGTTTGTCAGTTGTTTCTTTAATATTTACTTTTAAACTAAAAAATTGGATAATGTATAGTATTAAAATTTGAATTATAATCTACAGTTTGATACCAAATTTATTGACATAACTTCATGAAATAATAGTTCTATACAATTTTGAATGGGAGTCAACAAACAAGATTACATAGCGATTCACCTATGACCCATCTCGAAAGGGTTAAACAAAATCCTCCCCTCCCAAAAAAATAAACAAGCAGTAAGGCACACTGCACACTTTACCCTTCCACTAATAGGAGGGCAACACATCCTCTATATGTAGTACATTACTCTCCTTGTACACTATGTGTACACCATAAGCTGTCTTGACAACACAAAAGACACACCAAAGTGGAAAAGTAAGGTGGATCGTTCTGTGGAGAAGCAAGTACCTGTCCAAAATATATTTTCAGAAATAATCTCATCATCTGCACAAGGTCCACACTGATATTGTGCAATGGGGTATTGCAACTAGCTAAGGCAAGAGCTGGGGAGTTTAGTGGGTTGTGAACCATACCTTTTTTTTTTTCACTTGCAGTATGGCTTGGAAGGCAAAGACATAAATTGCCAAAGCAGTCTAGTGCAAAACCTTATCTGAACAGCAGGTACAGAGCAAGAACAGTTGAGCAACTGATTTGATCCTTCATCTTCACAAACGTTAACATTTTCCTTATATGAAAATGTATTTCCAACAGAATTTTTTTTTTGGAAAACAACAGTTCTAAGTATATCATAATGGTGAGTTACTTGAAAATGAATAACCTTGTTGTAATATTTGATTAAGTATGTATATTTATACTCTCATTGTCAGCAGAGTTTGATGCTGACCATTTCCCTTTAGCAATTTCTACATTTTTAGCTGTAATATGGAAACATTAAAACACAAAAGATGGCAAAATTTAGAAACCAGAGTGCTAGGTTTAGCTGAGAATAATAACAACATCAGACTTTTTCAAAATGAAAAGCTGAAATGCATATTTAAATAAACATTACTTGTAGATATTTTTGTTATTCCACATTCTTAGTATATAAAGCATAATAAAGAGGGATAATGAACTTTTTTCTTTCCAGTCTGTTTTACTTACTACACTAAAAAAACAGAGAAAGTTGTGGGACACCCTAATGGTGCATCATAAAGGCATGAAGGACAATTTTCTATAAAATGTAGACGAATGCTTTCTAAAGAGAAAAAATGTAATGGCTTAAGATAAATGAATATTTTTTGTCTATTTTGAAATGGCATTTAATTTTGATCATCCTTTGAAATAGTATTGAATGTTTATGAAATATAATTTTATTATAGATGTATGTTATGTAATTTTTACTTAAGAAAAAAGAACAAAACATTGCTCAAAAAACAGTGATACAACCGTAAGAAAAAACTAGGATTTGTATTGTCTCTCTTGATTTTACACTAAATGAAGTTCAAAACTTTTAATATTATAAATTTTGTTTTACTTTCATTTAAAACTTAGCCTCAGAAAACATATTTGTTTTTATATCATCCTTATAATTTTCTTTTATAATCTTAGTTTTAAGGGTAATCTTCAGTTGAACAGCTTTTATTATTAAATTGTTTGATAGTAAAGAGTAACAAGCTAGCATATGCTTAACATTAACAGGAAAGCTAAACTTTCCAGTTTATCTGCTGTATAAAATATATCCTACTTACACTATCCCTGTGAGAAGATCTCTCATAATTAACGTTATTGACAAAATGTTCAAACTTCATTATTTATAAAGAGGTTTGTTTCCAGCAAACTAACAACTGATGAGAAAATGTTTTGGGGTATCTAAAAGTTGAAGCTGTTCATAACACTAAACCTTTAAAATTTTATTTTTCAGTACTTTACCTTTTTTTTAACCTTCTCTTCTCACTTTTATCTTTAATAGCCATTTCCGAGACAGATGAGAAATCTGATAAGCAGGCTCTTATAAATCAACTTTACATTATCCCTGAGCTAATAAAGAATGTATTTAATTAATCGATTATTTTAAGAACTGAGTATGTCCTGTGACTATGATCTAACAAACTCGGTGCTTTGTAAACTTTTACTTCATCCATTTCGTCAACTCATTTCAAAACCCAAGATAAACTTACTTTAAACAAGCCTTTTGTTTATTTTCATTGTTATATTTATCTTTTTTTTTTTCTCAATTTGAATTAGACTACATACATGTATCATTAGGACAGATAACAGTATTCCTTTCATTCTAGACCTCATGTTAAAAATTTCTTTTTGTTTAAGCTGTTCACCAGGATCATGCTGTAATAGGAGACAAATATGACACTCATCTGGGCTTTGAACAAAATACCAGAAGAGACAGTTGTTCAGAGGAAACCACTGAAGAACTTAAGACCATGATTGAGGAACTTAAAGCTGAAAGAGATTCACTCTCTGATAGTCTGCTCGAGTTGGATGCACAACACCAGGTACATGAACATTAATTTTTACAATATTTTTCTTTTAAGAGTTCAATAATGACACCTAGGTAGGATATAAATAAATTCTCTTTTTATTATCATTGTTTCGTTACTGTTAAAATGCAATTACAGTAATATAATTCAGAGGTAATTAAAATTTTTCAAAGCATTTAATTTTGTTATATTAGAATAATATAACAAAAGTTTGTGAGATTGGATTGCAATGTAGAACACCTAATAATTACATCTTCTGTGGGGACTAAAATGGAGTGTTAGGATGGTAGCTATAAAATTACATGTTTTATGTTAGTGGTAGCAGTTAATTACTGTTGTAATAATTTTAAAAAATTGTAAGCACTTAAGAATATAATGAGGCTTATAATTTGCATGAATAAACTAGCAACACTGTACATTTCTGCTTGGCACATGGCACTAGTAAAGTTTCTTTACAGGTATGTTTGTATGCAGAGAACAAAATACGAGTTAAAATGTGATATTTCATATGTTATGATAAGTTTTTACATAGGTAGTCATAAATATAGCTACCCCAAGATTTAATGGTGGCTGATTTTTACACGTGTAAATATATGTAGAATCATATATAAAACAGATGAACATCAAACAGCATTATAACTAAAGTCCACATCAATGGAAACAGAGTATACAACAAGCACTTAACCCTTTATCTTCTGTGGCCATTTTGATCTTATCGTGAATGTTGAAGGAGGAATTTAATGAATAAAATCCTAAAATACGTTTTAGACTGTAAAAAGCGCCCTCTAAGAAGGAAATTAAAAAAAAAAATTTTTTTT